AGGGAAAACTTCGACTTTCAAATAATATGTAATGTGCTGCCAAAACATTTGATTTCGCAAAAATTTTTGAATGAAAAAGAAAAAACGGCACGAACTCACTTGACACAAGATGGTTTGTTACAGCAACTCTAAAACAGGAGGGTTTCCGCAAATGGTTGAAAGCGGAGAAGTTCGACTTGGCCTTTGTTCCAATGTTTGATGTGTGCTCTGTTGGGCTTGTATATGAGGCAAAAATCCCTGCCTGGATATGGCTGAACAGGTTGTCGAAAGATTCTCCGTAATAAAAATGCAACTCAGAATTTCTCCTTTTAGCGGATCGATTATGGATTATATTGCATATCGTATTGGAGTGCCAATTATACCAAGCTATGTACCGCGTGAGATTCTAACTTCGTTCTTATTTCCGCTTGCAAAATTTGTTAAGAGCTGTCAAAAAGAGAGTGATTGGCAAAAGGATTCACTGAATTATTGGTGACAGTGTGCAGGTTTTTTGCTTGAAATAATCTTCCTAGCCATGATGATGGAGGCTGGTGCTGAGATGAGCTTCTTGAAAAGGGTTAAGAGTGTGATTGGACATGGGCTCACAAATCTCATTTGGACAAAGTAAGTTACCTTATGATGATTACATAGCTTGCAAACGGGCTGCCTTCCTGGTTTTGTAACTTTCCATCTACTAAAATAAAATAAATGGTAGGAGCTGACTTTAGACTTATGGATGATATTAGTGTCATGCAATGTTAAAATCAGTTATTTTTTATACTAGCAAAATCGCACACTGATCTCTCTGAAAACGTTAATTTAGAAAGGTTGAAAAGTCCGATTTGAGACAAAAGGCAAGCTTAGTCCTCTCTAATGGACTTTATATCTATATAGAACCATTAGCATTTGCTCTTCTTGATAGATGAATAATGTAAGTGAAGATTCACATGTGAAAATCTTCGTAGCTAATTAGTTTGCGATGAAGTAAAGACTACTAGTGTTAGAGCTTACAAATGTAAATGAACAGATGGTCGCAAACGTGGTCGAACAGATGCAAAATTTGACATTTTGCGTTCTTTGATGGCTTTCTTGCATAAAGTCTGTTTGCCTACTTTACAACTACAGTTTAGCAAAGGTGTCACATGAACAATATAGAGATAGAAAAATACAAAAACAAAACCCATGTCATTCTTTTAGGCCCATGTCATTCATTTATCGATTATAAGTCATAATGTCAGGAGTCGCAGAGCTATGGCAATATGTATGTGTTTGCAGGATAGTAATCACGCGGTATTAAAAATCGCTACTTTCTTCAGGCAGCAGTTCGAAATAATCTACTTTATCTCATTATAAAGACAAGAGTTTATCTAGTTTCTCTCCTACCACATTTATCACGACATGATTGCTGTTGAAATGGTGCGAGTTTGATAAAAGGAAAGGATTTACTTTCCAAAAATGGGAGTATTTCATAAGATGGGTAAGAATCATCATTTTGACGTGCATACACAAAGTTTTCACGGCTTATTTTCCTGCCACATGCTTAGCATATTTCGGCGGATTACGCAAAGCAAATTCTTCTTTCAACAGTATACGCTCATAGTCAAAAGAAGTCAAGCAATTCTCAGCTACTTGAAATAGCTTAAAGACTTGTTGAGCAAGTTTACTCCAGGAAATAGTGATGGGAAAGTTTTAGGGCACTCTGCACTAATTTTATGCATTACTAAGCTTTATCAATACTCCCTCTTTACAGACTTGTCGCCGATCCCGAGACACAGCTTTTTCGCACATTCGTATCACCCGATTTCCCAGATCTCATTGACTTGGCAGCAAAATGTCCACTGGTAGCAATTTCAAACAAATCATGAGAGAACTTGAATAGCAAAACTAGGATATCTAAGATAATGGCGAATACAAACGACCTCTATGAACTTCCACGACCAACACTCGCAAAAATTGTGAATATTGGTGGTGTGGGCATGGTCAGTGAGGAAAAGCCGTTAAATGAAGTTCTCTCGAAGGTAACTCTAGGTCTAACTAAAAAGTACAGCAACATTCTTTGCTTCGTTGCAGTCTATTCTTGATATCATTGACCGCAGTGATGGCGTTGTTCTATTCTCATTTGGCTCCGTCGCTCCGATGTGGAAAATGCCAACGAGTTGGAAGAAAATGTTTATGGCGGCTTTTCAGCGTTTTCCAACGTATCAGTTTTTATTGAGATATGAAAAGGACGATATTAATGGTAGGCAAATGGAATTTGCAAGATTTCTTGTCAACAATCAATTGCTCATAGCTAAAAAAGATATTTAGATATCCTTCCTCCGAATGTACACCTATTCAAGTGGATGCCTCAATCCGATCTTCTGCGGCATCCAAAAACCAAAGCATTCATCACTCATGGAGGCTACAACAGCTTTCAGGTAGCAATCGTCTCAATCTACCGCAAAAGCTTGGAATTAATTTTAAACTCAGGAAGCAGTTCATACCGGTGTTCCGTGCATAACAATCCCTCTTTTCGGGGATCAGTCAAAGAATGCTTTGCTTGCCGAACACCACGGCTTTAGCCTCGTTCTGCGAAAAGGAGAGCTTTCCAAAGAAATAATTTACAGTGCACTAAAGGAAATTATTAGTAATCCAAGGTCACCAATTATAGAATAATTGTGATGACGCACAAGGCGTAAAATATTCTAAACTTTAGGTACAAGGAAGCCGCCAGTAGATTATCAAGAATGGTGAAACAACAACCAGTTAACCCTACAGAGCTGCTCGTGCGGTGGTCTGAATTTGTTGCAGAGTTTCAAACGCTTGAGAATCTGGCTCCATTTGGGACCAAACTTAATTTCATTCAGTACCATTCACTTGATGTCATCGCCTTTTTGCTCACTGTTGCAATTCTTGTTTTAATACTTGCTATAAAATTGCTCAAATTTATTCTAAAATTGTTGTGGTCTATTCTGTCTCAGTTAAAAAAGGAGAAGGCTGCGTAAACAATTCTTATTTTATTTTTCATAGCTGCCGATGAGAATTTTTTTCTAGAGATTTTAGTTGCTCTGGTTTACACCTTATTCGTGTTATACTGTTTTTTCCCATAAATCTCCTATCCACTTTGTGTAATAATTAGCGGAGAAAATCAGTGTCGTTTCACGCTACTATGTTCGTTGATAGGCTCGCATAGGAAAGCCTTTTGGGAAGAAAGTTCGTAAGTCTTGCCTTTAAAAACCTAGATAAGGTGATCGTACAGGCTCTTGAAAAAATTCACAAGTACGCTTTTCGGGAATACCACTTTTCAGAAAATGAGCGAGTTTCATTTTTGAGAACAAAGAAATTTGCAGGATGATTCTTTTTTCAATTCATGTTGGCTTAGCTATTAGGGCAGTATCAAGGAAATAAAGGTAAACAAAAGTAAGCATTGCTTAGAACGTACCTTTTCAAGCGTCAGATAAAAAAGGTTGCGTGCAATAGTTTATTGAAAAAGGGCAGTACCGTATGCATTTACTCGATAGTTTAATTTTCAAAACAGTTCGCATCACTCCTATATATTCTGATTGCAATTATATGGAAGTATGGAAGCTTTTGTACAATGGTAATTTTCATTGCTGAGTCAATTAATGAAGATTAATTTAACTAAAAAAGGGGAGTACAAGAAGACAACAAAGAATTTCAATAAAGACTTCTGTAGAAAAGAAGGGAATCTCTGAACTGCACGCGTACATTTGGAATTTATAAGTAACCCTAGCCAAAGCGCCGCTTCGCGGCGCTTTGTCTAGGAAGAGTGTGTGTAAGTTCCCTCTAAAGGTA